TAAAGACGGTAAGATGATCTGAGAAGATATGTCCACTAAGCCACTGCTCCAATGAATCATATTCCACTAAAGAGAAGGCAGCTGAGTAAAGTGTAAAACTCTTGTCATTCAATTCAGATTTCAGACACTGGGCAATATGTTTTGAATGCTAATGACTTCTTAGCATTTTTTTGTTTGTTTGTTTGTTTGTTTTGAGACTGGAGTTTCGCTCTTGTTACCCAGGCTGGAGTGCAATGGCGCGATCTCGGCTCACGGCAACCTCTGTCTCCTGGGTTCAAGCAATTCTCCTGCCTCAGCCTCCCGAGTAGCTGGGACTACAGGCATGCGCCACCATGCCCAGCTAATGTTTTGTATTTTTAGTAGAGACGGGGTTTCACCATGTTGACCAGAATGGTCTCGATCTCTTGACCTCGTGATCCACCCGCTCGGCCTCCCAAAGTGCTGGGATTACAAGCGTGAGCCACCGCGCCCGGCCAGCATTTTGTTATACATTTACTGCACTTACTAGTAGAATCTAAAAACTTGTAAAATTATAGAATCCCCTTACAAAATACATGCTTAGTATTTTCTCCTATATGTTACAATTAGTAGTTACATAACTAAATTTCTATTTTAAAGTTATATTACATACAGCATTCTATACTATTTTAACAAAATAATTAGTTGAAATATAGGTGTATAATGTACATATTATATATGTACATATATAATATGTACATATATACATATATAACGTATATTACATACATACATGTACATGTATATGTGTATATATAATGTATATATGTATATATAACTCAATGTAAACATGTATATTTACATTGAGTTATATATCTTATTTAAATCTATACCTAATCCATATATACATATATACATTATACATTATATAGGTGAATGAATATATTATGAAGTCATTGTTATCTATATATACCTATAATAACTGTTAGTTGGTTAGTTGCTGCCTTTTCTTTTGACTATGACTAACTTCTTAACTTCAGGAAAAATCTAGTAACAACTGAATATATGATTTTGGATAAAATTCATCTGAGACAATCTTAAATAACAGAATAATATTTATAAAACACCTTTCAGTAAATGAATTAGAAAATTAGATAATTGTATAGTTTAACTCAAAGATTGTTGCAAAATCACTACTTTAAAAAATAGTGGTTTACATGACTTAGTATTTATATTTAATCATACATGTTAACATTACATATATAATTTATTTTGTTGTTGGCTCACTAGAACATATTAAGCTGCTTATTAAAACTCCTGTAAAGAAAGAAAGGATAATTGTATTCTGAAAACAGCTCCCCACAATGTCACCTTCATAGAGCTTCCCAGGATAATTTTGATCACATAGCCCAAGAAAGTTAGATCAAAATCCTGTCTTTCACTCAGGATTTTGATCAAGTTGCCCTGGCTTTTCTGAATGAATCTAAAAATTTTTAAACACATTTTTCAGAGTCAACAGATTAAGATCAAATAGAGCATTCATGAGAAACTTTCTCCATGATGGTCCGTTGGAATCGATCCCACCCCTCTTGCTACCTGAGCCCCCTATTCAAGGTTTTTCCTCATTCTGCCTTGTATTAAATCTTATTTATAAGTACAGTTGAGCTTATTCACAGTCTATGAAGACTGGACTCTGGAAAACAGGCATCTTTAATCAATCACACTTTTTAGCACTGTGCTTAGCACACAGTGGACATTCAGTATATCTTGTTGTCATCACATATTCACCTGCATTGAAGACCCACTCTCTTCCAGAAGAAACTTATACTTCAGGGACCCCTCTGAGGTTGACCAAGAGGGAATCTTTGCAGAGGCATCATTGCTACCAACTCCTCTGAGTTGTCATAGGGAACTCAGGGGTATTATGGCTCCCAGTGCTATTGAGAGTTCCCAGGGCCTCTCACCAGTGAACAAGCCAATAAACACTCAGGAAAAAGTAACTTCAATGTATCTGGTCCTTTAAAGCCTCCAGGAGAAATCCTGGCATCTAATCTTTCTTAAATGAGACTGTTAGAAACCTGCTGTTTCTGCTAGGGGAGATTTGGTGGGACTTGGGAATTCAGTGTTTAGGTTCATCAGAATCCATAATCCATACAAATGTTTCTAATCTAATACTCAGAATATTATTTAGATATGAATGTTAGATCAAATTTCATCTTTCGACTAACACATCCAGGAGGATTGTGAATTCAGTTGGTATCCCAGTTCCACAAACTACAAGCTTTGTTTCTATTTTCAGACTGAGATGTAAGGTATAAGTGGTTTCTTTCAGGGAAGTTATAGCAGTATTTGCTTTCCAGACTGTAATTTTAGATGAAAACTAAAACCCTGAGAATGTTATTATTCTTTCTGTTACCTTTCGCATGCAGTCACTACTTGAACTCATCATTCTCTCCATAATATTCTTATTTTTTTGCAACAGCTACTTGATCTCCGAAAACGCTCCCTTAATAGAAACTACAACAGTTGTTAAACTAGGTAACTGGTTTGCTACTGCATTTTATGCATTAACAGAGTTACATTTTTACATTGGCAGTGAGGCTATTCCTGTCTTTAACCAAATCAGATATCTAATTCTAACAGGTCTTAAATATTCTCTTTTTTGATACCATCTTTTAGAATATCTTTTAGACTTTTATCAATCATGTTTTTTTTTCTGAACACAGACACCACTATAAGGAGGTTAATAGGAATCAATTCAGAATTGAGAATTTGAGATACACAGTCTTTAGAATGGGGGAGTGAAGAGCAGTCATCAATAATTCCAGCTGCCTGCATTACTGAAGTGGCAGTTCTGAGGAGGACAATCAGAAGCATTAAAAGCCACATATTTGCCAATGTCTATATGAATGCCCACAGTTTTGCAAAACGAAAAAATAATGGCTTTTCCTTCTTTTCTACCCAATAAGTCTTCTAAGAATGGCTCTCTGTTGCATACTCTATAATTGCACTGGCAAGGTGTTCTGGGAACTGTACTTCCTGATTTCCTCTTCAGGAACAGGGTGGGGACAATTTAGTATTGAAAATAGATAATTTTGTCGTTTCTTTTATACTTACTTAATTTTCATTATTGGAAAAGAGGTTCAGCTAGCTCTTTGATCACACAGCCTTTTAGTCCAAATGTTTCCAGTTTAAGAGAGGAAAGCAAGTCTTTCTGATCCTTGGAATCCCAACATTATAGGTCCATTAGGATTTGGCTCATAGTCACCTTTAGAGGTCCCTTTTCTTTCATACATCCCTGTACAGACTTCTTTATTGCTTTACCAAACTACATGCATTTCTCTGATTACAATAGAAGTATCCTTGTGGCGATTGCTTTGGCCTACAGTGAGATTTTTCCCTTTGGCCAAACTCTCCTTTCAGTACTCATATCAGAGCTCACGAGCTATTTGAAAACTCCTCTTCAATTCTCATCCAGGTGGCTAGTTAACCCACTGACCACGGTCAAAGTTCTTTGTACATATCTATGAGATATGCAGTGATGTTGTTTGGTAACTGCTAACACATCTACTTTTCCTTCTTGACTCTGAGCTTCTTTAGAAAAGAGAACTTGTTTTAATTATCTTTGTAACTCAAATCGTCCAGCATGGAATCTATCAAGTTGTAATTCCTCAATAATTCTTTACTTTTTTTTTAACCTAAGGCAACTATGTGGCAACACCACTAAACCTTCAGTATTTCCAACCTTGCCATTCAGATTCACCTGTGAGTTTATGAGACAGGACTGTTGGGTGTACCTATGCACAGTTCTGTGTTCATAAGCAACACCGGCACTTGTTATTTGTAATCTAGTATTTTTTTTTTCTATCTCTCCTTTTAGGCTTTGTTAGTTGAATTCCTGGGAATCAATCATTTTGTAAACACTGGAATGTTCTTCATGAGCTTTCAAGAAGTCCCACCTACATCTGATGAAAATGTTACTGTGATGGAGACTACTTTTAATAATGTTCCTGTCCGTGTATACGTGCCAACACGAAAGTCAGAGATACTGAGAAGAGGCTTATTTTATGTTCATGGTGGTGGTTGATGTATGGGGGATGCTGGTATGTGCCCCATCTTAAAAGTTTTAGTTTATTATATAACATACATTTTAGTGAAATATTGACTTCATCATATCAAGACATACATGTCAGATAACAAAACACTTCAGCTGTCTGAAATTTATTTCTTTGGAGCTATGTAGGTTTAAAAGAACGATTTTAAATCTCATTGTGAAATAGAGCATAATAAATACCAAAAACTGTAGCAAATCTCAGGTAAGAAGAAAACGTATTTCACTTAGACATTTATTATTAATTGTAGATTTGATAGAAAGTTGCAGTAGAAAACAATGAAGTGAGTTGAACAATGGATTAAATATGAGGAAATAGAAATGGTGACTTTAGTCTTAAGCATAAACATTAAGGAAATTAGAAATAAGGTGTTAGATTTAAAAAAACAGAGTTGAATAAGGGTATTTTATTTTGATTTTATATTATATCATATATATTTTGTTTAATGCACTTATGAATTTATACAAACATTTATAATATATTTTAATATAAAATTTTAATTACTATCAAATCTAAAATTATTTTATTTGCAAATATATTTTGCATGTTTTTTATTATATATATTTCATATTTATGTATAGGAGATCTATGAACGTGATTATAAGTTGTAGTTAAGGTGGTGGTAAATTGAGGTGTATTGGAGAAACGTGGGGAGTGGCAGCTAGAGGAAGGGATGGGGGTTTATCTGATCTAGAGAATATGGAAGCAAATTGGATTCGATACAGATGGGAAAAATTGGCAACATAGGAGGAGGAGCATATTTTCATTTGTGACAGAAGGAAAATAGGTGTTGATGGTATTGCTGTAGATCAGGACTTTAAATTGGAGCAGTAAATGGGGTGATTCTATCATTTTCTCTAAATTTAGATAGTAAAGTCACCACTTAACAATGCAGTGATGTGTCTAACACAAAATCTGAATATGACATACCAGTTTCCACAAGTCTCTTCTGTCCAAAATACTTTTTTGAAAACTTTTACCTGAAAGTATCTCTGAAGAATGAAAATATGTTTAGAAAGGTAAAGGAACTAAATAAGAATAAGCTCAGAAACAAAATAACATTTGCCTGATACTTTCTATTTCAATATTAAAGAAAAACATAAAAATATGTATTCCAATCAAAAATATGAGCATGACTTTTTGTAGTAAAGGTTAAATAAAAGTTAAGGACTTAGTGTGTATTTGACGTTAAGAGTACTCAGCATCTGATTTTGGAAACATCACAAGATAATAGCTATTCCTCTTTCCATGGCCCCCAAGAGATGGGCTTTGTAAGAACCTCGTATCCTGTTACTTCTCCTTCACAGCTGTATGATTTATCCTGACACTTGTTACTACTAAATTCTATTTATCTTTTAACAATTTTCTTATCTGCAAAAGGAAGCATTTGCCCAAGCTCCATGGCAAACAGGTGTGACCCATCCCCAATCCATACACACACCAAAACAAAACAAAACCACAAAATAGAACAAAACACATTTTTTCTTGTCTGCCAAGAAAATATGAGTACTTAATTCAAGTCTCTGCTCTCTCTACTTGCTATTTACTCTCTCTCTCTCTCTCTCTCTCTGGCAGTTTCTGTGAAGTTTAATTTAATTTCCAAAGAGCATTTTCTGTACGCCTCCATTAACTATTATTTTGCATTATTGCTTTTGATTTATATGCCTGCCCTCCCCATCCCTGTTTCCAGTAGGCTATGGCTTCCTTAAAGCTGGAGCTAATATTTATGTGTTTGTACTTTCAACACCTAATGCCTGCTAAATGAAGGAAGCAGAAATTAATCTTGAGGAGAAAAACTGGTTTAAATTATCCAGTGTAAAAATGTAGGAGTGGATGAGAAAGCTGACAAGGTATATGTAAAAGAAACACTGGGAAGAATTTATGTTCTAAAATTAAGATAAAATATTAGAAATATTTTTTTCTAGAGTATATCAATGAGGAACAAGGTGTACTAGTAGGCTTTTTGTTGAAAGAAACACTCATCAATTCATTTGGTTGTTTTTTTTTTTTTTTTTTTTTTTTTTTTTTTTATTTTCAGCTTTTTTTTTTTATGACTTTCTATCAAGGTGAACAGCTAATAGACTTGATGCTGTTGTTGTATCAACCAACTAAGAGCACTCTCGGTTTGTTTGGGTTTAGGCTGAATGCTTTATGTAGGAAAATGCTGTCAGCTTTTGTGGTCTTTCTTTGTTATGCCAAGAGAGTTTATGTGAAACTGAGAGAGTCACCATAGAGAAAGTGAGCTTGAGCATTACAGGAACAGACACGGGAAATAAGAAATCAGATCAAACAGGAATCAGAAACAGGAATTTTAGAAATAGAATACAATTAAACTATTGGATCTTATGGACAAATTACCTCTGCTAGATTTCCAGCCTAGTTTTCATGAGCAGAGTGAATAAAAGTGAGGGCTTTGAAATCAGAAAATCAGGATCAAATCTGGGTACTCAAATTAATTCTGTGACTTTGTACTAGATAAATACAATCTCTTTAGCTTAGTTTCCTCATCTTTAAATTGGGATGCATATAATATTTTCTACAAAATAGGGTTTTTTTTGAGGATTATATGATAAAGCAAACTTAAAGTACTACAAGGTATGTCATGGTAAAATCCTTCACTAAAAGCAATTGTACATGGGAACACAGGCAAAATCTATTCTTGAGAAGTATTCTAGATCAATAATTCCTGGAAAATTGACCAAATAAGAATGAGTAGAAAAACGAAGAAGCCATGTGAAAAAACATTGTAATGAACTAAACGTTAGATTAACTAAACATTAGCCAACTGAACATTAGATTAAGGTAGAATCTCACAATTCTGAAGATTTGCTTGCCATTTATTGGTTACCACTAAAGTATAATGATCACAGGAAAAAAAAATCATTCTGGAAGAAATTTATTCCCAAGCAGGGAAACGTAACACCTGCTTGTGTGTGTGTGTGTGTGTGTGTGTGTGTGTGTGTGTGTGTGTGTGTTTGTTTTCTCCTTAAGCCTAATCCACATTTTGTATTAAAGAATTTACTTGTGTAAATGTCATTTGTAAAAGTTTTCATATAGAGCATCATCATAAGGATGAAATCTGTTTTTGGATTTATCATGATCCAAAATATCAGGTTTGCTACAGAAAAAATTTTACTTTTGATTTTAGGGTTAGAGTAAGCAGAATATCATATACTTTTAAATTAAAAACAGTTGACTTAAAAATTGTTTTTCTGCCCACAGCTACAGACTAGCACCTAAATATCACTTTCCAAATCAATTTGAAGATGTATGTAATGCACTAAGATGGTTGTTACGCCAAGATATTCTTGAAAAATATGGTATAGATCCGAAAAGAATTGGCATTTCTGGAGACAGTGCTGGTGGAAATTTAGCTGCAGCGGTGACTCAACAGGTATGATGCTCAGATTTGTTTTATTCTTTAAATATCCTATGCTTAAATATATTTATTTCAAATAAAATTTTTAGAAAAAAATGTTAACAGGTCTATAGATACCAAATACTTGCAGAAGGAATTATACTTTTCATTTATTAATTATTTATATGCCACTACTTATATGACATTTAGCCAAAACTGTATGCCTATGAGCTATCAATACAAATTATTCTGTAATTATAAGCAGCCTACTATATTATGGATAACATTGTTTTTGGTATTGGATTTTTGACCTAATAAACCAGGGAGTGATGTCTTAGAAGCAATGTTTCTATAAGGAAAAATAATTACATAAACTTTCCAAATTAATATCTACAGTTTAATATTTGATTCTGCAATTGAATAACTGACTCTAATAATAAATATTGCATCTAAACTTACTGTGCAATGAAAATATTGCTAGCATTTTTGCTGATTTTATTATTTATTTTTATATACTTTGGAAATGTATAAATTTTGATTATCGGCACATTCAAGATAACCTCCTTCTGATTTCTAGCCAAAGGAAAAATACAAATTTTGTGATTCATTCTAATATACTATAGAATAAATACATGCAACTTCTCCAAAATTGAATTCTATATACATTGTTGCTCTGAGAGGCATCCTAATGCAGTACAATTAACCCTTCAGGAGACACAGATCATTGGAGTTGAAGCAATGTCCAGCTATGACCTTAGACAAGCCACCTAATCTCTTCAAGCATCAATTTCTCTTTATTGTGTTGCATAATAAGCCTTTCCTCTTATGGAGTTTAGACTTCTAAAATGATGAACCAGTTAATTCGGACCCATAATTATTAAAAATCTAGCTAACTGTAATCCCAGCACTTTGGTAGGCCAAGGTGGGTGGATCATGAAGTCAGGAGTTTGAGACCAGCCTAACTAACATGGTGAAACCTCGTCTTTACCAAAAATACAAAAATTAGCCAGGCATGGTGTCACACACCTGTAATCCCAGCTACTCAGGAGGCTGAGGCAGAAGAATCACTTGAGCCCAGGAGGCAGAGGTTGCAGTGAGCCAAGATCATGTCACTGCACTCCAGCCTGGGCAACAGAGTGA